GTGTAAATCATAAATAATATTTAAACATTCAAAATGGATCCAATTTTAGGCAATAATTAGGTAGTTTAATGCTATATTCATAAACTATTTAAAAAACCTGCCTCAATACTGCTTAATTAGAAAACCATTTTAAAAACATAAACGTAGCTATATATATCTATCAATTATAATACGATATGACAAGACTAATAAAAAATAAATGGTCCTAGTTTACTATTACAATCCATTTAAAACAATTATGATAACACAACATACAAATATAATATACATGCCACTAATAAGCGAAAGGTAAGATGTCTTACTGATTTGGTATTAAGTATGATTTTCTGAAAATATGCTTAAGAGGCTCATCACTTCATGTTCCTTTTTCTATTGAACCTACGTATGAAATCATCACGTGCTAAGTAAAATTAATGAGGCAGTAACATAGCTAAGGTAATAAAAGAACATATCATAAATAATATAACATAAAATTGTAATTTAAACAAAACATTAAAACTTTTAAACCGAGCTATTTAATTTTTTTCCTCTTGAAAACCTGAAAATTATTATCTCATGATTTTATCAAAAATCATGTAAGTCAACATTAAATATAACTAACTAATATTCTTATTCTTGTCCATTCATACATATTCCAGAACTTCCATTCCATTTCCATATTTTTTTCTTTCATATACTTGTAATAACTTTCACATTTAGTTTTATAGCACAATGTATATGTAAGAGAATGCAAGGTACATGAGTCAGATGAGTGTGTGCAATAAGCACTTCAGTGCTAACATCAAAATCAGAATATGGACTCCAAGTGCATTCATATCATGTGCACCAACTCTGCTACACATAATGTACACAAATGTACAGATCATAATCATGATCATAATCACTCCACCTCATGGCATGCCAATTGTACCTACGACTCTTAATGCAACATACAACAAGCTTTCATAATATATCTTATTCGTTTCATAGTCAATATTTCAAATTCAAAATTATCATTATTTTATCATTGTCAAAATAGAACTTGGGCAGTTCAGAACCTAAGTCATCCATAAAACATTTATATAAACATTATGGAAAAATCTATAATTAAAGTAGAAACATACTTGAAAAAATATGAGGTTGACTTATCGTAAGTCGTCCTCGTTCAAAATAATTAAATAAAAAATATACTCACTTTGAATCTTTATTAATCAGCATTATAAGCCTCACTAAGCTTTAAGTTTAGTCCTTTGCTTTCGATTACTTCGACTATAAATTTATCAAATTCATACTTTGGCAGTTTGTATAACCTTCAAAAAAGTATTATTTTGTATTAATATACATACTTAAATTATTTCGTTTGTACCTATAGAAACTAGACTCAAATTTGAATCTAATCATGTAATGAACTTCTCTTAGTTAAACTTGTACAATTTATAACGAATTTTTCAAAAAATGACTTATAGAAATTGTTTTGAGCAGAATCTGCTGCCTGTTTTTCTTACCTACCCTCGATTAAAAATTCATATCTTTTTGTGTACACCTCAAATAGTACCATTTGTTCAACTTCTGTATAATTTATGTTGATTTTCTAAATTTATGTTAAATCAAAATATCTAAGTAGCTTACCTTAATTAACGTCCTTATTTTCCAAAATTCTATTAGCTTACCAATGAACTTATATGCATAAATCACAATTACATAATATTTATGAGTCGCTTCTTACCATAGTAACTTCGTCACTGGCTCATCGTAAGACAATGTTCATTCAATAATATAAGTACAAATTAAGAAGATCACACAAAGGTGAGATTTCTTATGAGCTAATGGTTTGATGAAATTTAAGATTGGTTTTGCTCCTTAGATGTTAATTAAGCTTAAGGAAAGCTTAATTTGCTTTAAAACAACAATATAAAGAGTGTAGGAAGAATTAAAGATTAGGAGTTCTTGAATGAAATTTTGAAATAATGTTCATATTTGAAATCGGAGGTTGTATTTACTTGGCATCGACTTAGTTAAGACATACGAAGTGTTAAATTAGATTTAGAACATGTTGGAAATTGAGGGAGATTCTGAAATATTGGTGGAGGATTGAATTTTTAAGTATAAGAAGTATTGAATGGGTATTAATTAGGTTAACTAAATGTATGCAAGTTAAGGAGATAAAAAGATGGGAAATATGAAGTGTTGAGAGGATTATGAAGAGATTTTCATGCTAAAATAACATTTCTGGGTTGTGTGCACCGATGCACATTCAATGTGTACTGATGCATCAAGGGTAAAATCCCAGAAATTATTCAAGGTTTATCGATGCATATGAGGTGTATCGATGCACTCCTTTAAAATAAAAACATCGAATGTCATTAGTGTATCGATGCACAAGTAGTGCATCGATGCACCCTCTTAAAATACAAACATCGAATGAGATTTATGTACCGATGCATAGATTGTGCATCGATGCACCCGTTAAGGTATTCATCGATACATGGTGTAGTGCATCGATGCATACCTTCATTAAAAGATGAAAATAACTTTCTTTTTAACCTAAGGAGTGATAGTTTAGAATATATTAATTAGTATACTGATTAGTATCAATGTATTACTATGTAGATATAGAACGTAATTTCGTTCCGGAACAAACAAAGGATTAGAATCAAGTCAAAATAAGCAAGGCCAAGGTGAGTGCATATCCTAGATGAAATGGAATTGAGACAAGACTTGCGATAAGTCTATCTCTTATCATTGAATTTATGATTTTATATTCATGTACATGCATACATATATATGTGTTAACGTTATAGTGATTTCATGTATTTTTCATTCATGATTAACATGGTATTATATGAATAAATGCCATTATCAAAGAATTCTTCCAGATATGTGAAATAATGAAAATGATCATATGAAGTGACTTATGTGTTTACATGGACAGTGATGAAAGATATGAAAGAAAATTATTTAATTAAGCCCATGTTATTTGATATGAGAGCTATAGGTATAATTGGCATACCAAGAGTTGAGGGATTATCAGTGGTCCTTCGGGACATAGTGGTTCTTCAGAATAATCAGTGGTCCTTTGGAACATAGTGGTCCTTCGGGACAAATATTCAGTGCCCCTTGAGGGAATTATACGAGCTGTGGTGACATAGTGCACAACCTCTATGTACTCACATACCTTTGTTCTCAATAATGTGCATGGGCAATTCCAAGATAAGTTAAAGTGGAATTAGCATAAGATATGTTTTATATGTGCATGTTACTGTCATATATGTTATAGTGAAATAGATGCATACAAATAAGATGTCATGATCAGATGGTAAGAATGCATGTTCATGAATGCATTGTTATATATATATATATATATATATATATATATATAGATATATATATATATATATAGAATATATATATATATATATATATATATATATATATATATATATATATATATAATATATATATATATATATATATATATGCCTCACTAAGTCTATGACTTAGCATGTAAGTGATTTACATGTAGGTAACAAGAATCAAGAGGAGCAGTAATAGAGGCGGCAAGGAAAACATCACTACTAAAAGATCATATCAAAAGTAATTGAAAAAGTAGGTATTTTGGTTGTGTATAGAGTGTTGGCATGTAATAAGTGGTTAATTATGAATGCTCTGATCGATTTTGTATTTTGTGGTCTCTTTTATATAAATTAATATATTTGGTTTTAATGAAAGTTTAAAATTTCCCTATTTTTCTTTAAGTGTCAAAGTTTGAAAAGTCAATGTGACACCTCGGACTCATATTCGGGTCGGATATGGGTTAATGGTGTTACATGTAATGGTATCAGAGCTACGATTTAGTCGATTATCGGTATAAACCGAATTCTAAAGTGTCCTATAAAGTATACATGCCAACAAAATAGTGAAAACTTCTGATCTGATATAATAGTAAGTATGTTGTTTTGCTGATAGAATGATATGGGTATGTTTTTATATATGTCCGAACATGGTAGCTCTAGAAGTGAAGCGGAAGATGATAGACCCGCTGAAAGCAGTAATTCACTTGCCCTGGTCAGGCAGAGTGAAAATCAGGCACCCTCTAGAGTGCCTGTAAGTGATCAAGATGTGTTCTTCAGAACACTAGACGCGGTATTAGCGCGTTTTCAACCTTCTGTTACTTCAACTCCAATAATGAATGTTGCAAAGGAGTTGAAGGGTTTAGGAGCACCAGAGTTTAGAGGTGAAGCCGAAGAAGGTCCTGTTGTTGTGGACCTTTGGCTTAATGATGTAAAAATCATGCTTGAGGGACTTCATTGTTCCGATCTAGAGAAGCTGGATGGAATAGTCTCATTGCTCCGAGGGTAAACAAAGATTTGGTTTACCAATGTTACATTGAGAATGCCCGGTGATCAAGTAACTTGGTCTTTGTTCTTAGAAGAGTTCAAGAATAAATACATCAGAGATCAGTTCATCCGACAGATGAAGCAAGAGTTCATGAATTTGAGGCAATGAAATCGTACAATATATGAGTACGAATGTGAATTCAACAAGTTGAGTCGTTTTACTGCGAAGTTAATTCCTACAGAGAAGGGTGTTTGCTATTGGTTTATTGAGGGATTGCGTCCTCGTCTGAAATAGATACTTATTGTGTTGAATTTATCTTCGTTTCAAGAAGTGGTGAACCGTGCTAAAGCTATGGAAAGAGTTCAAAATGAGAGGTTCGGGGATTCTCGAGTTCAAAATTCAAAAAGATCGGGCGTATCATCGAGTGTTGTACCATCAAAAAGGGGCAGAGAGTGAGTTCTCGACCCCAAACGAGATCAGAGTCAGTTGCATCTTCTGCAAGGGGATCAAATCATATGAGGGGTCGACAGATACGGTCAGTGGGATCTGGAGCTGGGAGATCTAACCCCAGCCAAGTCAGACAATGTCCACATTGTGGAAGGAACTATTCAGGGACATGTAGAATGATCTCTGGAGCCTGTTTTAAATGTGGGGACAGTGGACATTTTGTTCGGGATTGTCCTATGTTAGCGGGTACATCTGCTCTACCAGAGAGGTCTGTCTCGGTTACCCAGAGAGAAAGAGGTAGAGGTAGACGAAGAAGTCAGTCAGAATCCTCGACTCCACAAGAGATACGCTCCACAACTCGGGTGTATAATATCAAGACTAGCGAGGATAGAGATGACCCAAAAATAATAGCAGGTATCTTTCAGTTGTATGACTAGAATGTGTTTGTATTAATTGATTCGGGGTCTACATATTCTTACATTTGCAGTAAGTTAGTGAAAGAATTGAATATTTTGTTAGAATCTACTAGCAGTGAGGTAATAGTGACTAATCTGTTAGGACGCAGTGCTCGAGTTAATAAGGTATGTCGAGGGTGTCTCATATAGATTTAGGGAATTGAATTCCTTGCTAATCTGATGGAATTACCTTTTGACGAATTCGAGGTGATACTGGGAATGGACTGGTTATATCTTTATTACGCTAATGTTGACTGTAGACTGAAAATAGTAACGTTGAGAAGTTCAGAAGATATAGAAGTTATTGTATTTAGTGAAGGATGAAACCCATTGGCTAATGTAATATCAGTGATGTCGGTAAAGAAGCTATTGCTACAGGGATGTCAAGGGTTTATTGCAAGTGTGTTGGATGTGAGAGCAAAAGAGAAGGGGATTGAAGAAATTCCTATAGTCAGAGAGTTTTCTAACGTTTTTTCCTGCAGAGTTACCGGGTTTACCTCCAGACAGAGAGGTAGAATTTCATATTAAAGTAATGCCGCGAACTGCACCTATTACCATGTCACCATACAGAATGACCCCAAAAGAGTTACAAGAATTAAAGATCCAATTACAAGAACTACTGGACAAAGGGTTTATTAGACCGAGTGTCTCACCATGGGGAGCTCCAGTTTTGTTCGTCAAAAAGAAGGATGGATCCATGCGTCTTTGCATTAATTATAGGCAACTCAATAAAGTGACCATCAAGAATAAGTATCCCCTCCCCCGAATTAACGATTTGTTTGATCAGTTAAAGGGAGCTTCAGTGTTTTTGAAGATTGATTTACATTATGGGTACCATCAATTGAAGATTCAAGATAAAGATATTCCAAAGACAATATTCAGAACGAGGTATGGTTATTATGAGTTTATCGTGATGTCGTTTGGAGTTACGAATGCCCCGACTGCTTTCATGGATCCCATGAACTGAATATTTCAACCCTATTTGGATCGATTCATTGTGGTATTCATTGACGATATTTTAGTGTATTCGAAGTCAGAAGAAGAGCATAGTTCACATTTGAAGATCGTTCTACATACTTTGAGAGAAAAGAAGCTTTATGACAAACTCTCCAAATGTGAATTCTGGTTGAAGGAAGTGACGTTCCTTGGACATGTGATTTCTGCAGAAGGAATTCGAGTGGATCCCCAAAAGATTAAAGTCATTTTAGAGTGAGAAGTTACAAAGAATGTGTTAGAAGTCCAGAGTTTTCTGAGGTTAGCTAGTTATTACCGAAGGTTTGTTAAAACCTTTTCGATAATAGCATTACCCCTAACCAAGTTATTGAGGAAAGAGGTAAAATTTGCTTGGACTCCGGAGTGCCAAGAGAGTTTTGAAAAGCTAAAGAGGATTTTAACAGAAGCTCAAATGTTGATTCAACCCGAATCTGGCAAGAATTATGTAGTGTACAGTGATGCGTCTCATAACGGGTTGGGATACGTGTTAATGCAAGAAGGCAAAGTGGTGGCCTATGCTTCGAGGCAATTAAAACCACATGAGAAGAATTATCCAACACATGATCTAGAGATGACGGCGGTAGTGTTCGCTCTTAAGATCTAGCGTCACTATTTATATGGTGAGCGATGCTACTTGTATACGAATTATGAAGTGAAAGCTGATGGGAACCTATATTATCAATGGAGGCTAGTGATTCCAGATGATGATGAGTGGAAGAAAGACTTGTTAACGGAAGCTCATTGTAGTCCATTGAATATGCATCCGGGAGGAAATAAAATGTATATGGATCTCAAGAGTCGATATTGGTGGCCTGGAATGAAGAGAAACATTACGGAATTCGTATCCAAATGTTTGACGTGTCAGCAAGTCAAAGTTGAACATCAGGTTCCGTCCAGACTATTGCAACCTATGTCTATTCCTTAGTGGAAATGGGAGAACGTAACAATGGATTTTGTAACGGGGTTACCTTTGACCCCGAATAAAAGAGATTCTATCTGGGTGATTGTAGACAGATTGACTAAGTCAACTTATTTTATTCCAGTACGAGTTGACTTTTCCATGGATAAGTATACTGAGTTATATATCAGGGAGATTATACGTCTACATTGTAACATCCGCAATACCGGGTTAGTGACCAAATGGTAAAGTTTCAGAATTTGGTGACTAAAGTATAAGAATGAAATAGTTCAATGATTATTGGATATATATGATGAAGGTTATTTAGTAATTATTAAAGGAAATAAAGGGCAAAAGGGTCAATTGACCAAGAATGAATTAAAAATGGGATTGGTAAGGATAATGCACGTGGAAAGGGAGAGAATTCTCCAGAGTTCTCTTCTCCTTTCTTCTTCTTCTTCACGTGGAAGCCAAGAGCCAAAGGTAAGTTTCTTTGTTTATAATTTAATTGTTGATTTTAAGGTTGGGTTTTGATTATTAGATGATAACTAAGCTTAAGGAAAGCTTAAATCATCTTAAAAGCAAAGGATGGTGGAGTTAGGAGAGATTAAAGATTTAGAGTTTACAAATGAAATCTTGGAATAAAGTTCATTTCTTAAATTGGAAGTTAAATTTGACTTGTCAATGGTTAAATTAAGAGATTTGGAGTGATAGAATTGGATTTAGAACATATAGAAAATTTGGTATGATTCTTGAATCTCATAAGGAAGATAGGATTTTGAGGTTAAAGATGATTTACATGGATATAAGTTGGTTCAAGTAATGGTAGTTGAGTTTAATGTCATAAGAGGGGCTTAAATAGAAGAATTAAGGGAAGAGTTGATGATTTTTGTGCTAAAATGTCAGTTCTGGGCAATGTACATCGATGCACATTCATTGCACCGATGCATCGATGATAAATCCCAGAAATTATTTAAGGTGCATCGATGCACATGCAGTGCATCGATGCATTAATTTAAAAAGAAAACATCGAATAGGATTTATGCATCGACGCATGGTGTAGTGCATCGATGCATACCTTCATTAAAAGATAAAAATGACTCTTCTTTTAGCCCAAGAAATGTTTGATATTACATGAATATGCTTAGTTGTATTACATGTTAGGGGGTATGAATTTATATGATATGTGTTATATGGCAATTTATGTATTATAGGAATTAGATGAGTTTATGAACCTGAGATATAAATTATAGGAGGATGAACTATGTAAAATAGCAATGATTTATATGATAACAAGAGAAAGGATATAAATTACATGAGTTAGATATATATATATATATATATATATACATACATATATATAGGAGTTTGTATAACCAACTTAAGATTAGATGAAAAGTGAGATAAGTTAAATAACATTGATTTATAGGACAATATAAGAATAATATAAAATGAGGAGACATTGACAGAAGGAATTATATGAACATGTAAATAAGTTATATGGAGAGGATATATGAGTCGAAATGAACTATAATACATGAGTCATATGGTAAAGATTTAGAATCTATAGGAATGTTATGGGAACTATGTGATGATAAGTTATGAGAAAATATTTATATGGTAACAAGCTATGTGAAATTGAATTAAGTAATATATGAAACTAGAATATAGTTAATGTGAAATAATTGATTAGGTAAAACTGTGAGAAGTTATAGGGCATTGTTATTCGAAGTATATAAAAGTATGTATATGGATACCTGTATAAGTTTATATGTTATACTATGTGCTATGTGATATACTTGATGTATGAGAATCATATGAGAATAAGAGATGACAATGAGTTACATGCCATATGAACACAAGAGAAGTGTTATAAGCTACGTGACAGATGATTATGAAATCATATGAAAAGTGAAATGTAAATGTGAATATGTGAAGTGATATGAATATAATGCCCATGTTATATGATACGAGAGCTATAGGTATAGTTGGCATGCCAAGAGTCGAGGGTTTTACCTATTTCTTTCGAGACATATGGATAGTATACCTATGTTATAAGGAACATATGGATAGTTTACCTAGGTTCTTTGGGACCTATGGACAGTTGCCGAGGTACTTTATGACCTCTGGATAGTTACCAGGGTCTTTGTGACCTCTGGATAGGTCCTTCGGGACATTTATATGAGCTGTGGTGACAGCATAGTGGTGCACAACCTCAATAGACTCACATATCTACAGTTCTCACAAGTGCACATGGGCTAATAAGAGATAACATGGAATGTACTGTATATAATATATGTGTGTTAGTGATTATTGTATATGCTATAAGATATATGATATGAGCTTAATTGATCATATAAACAAGATAATAGAAATATGAAAGGTGATAATGATAACGATAGGAAAGAAATAATTATATGTATATGGGTGTGATGTTTGTTTGATATGTTAGTAGAAATTGTTCAAGCATGATTACGAGTTAGAGTTTTTATATATGTTTTATGCCTCACTAAGTCAACGACTTAGCGTGTGATGTTTCACACATAGGTTACAGAAGTGAGAAGAGTAAAGAGCAACGTGGAGCAAGACAGGTCAGTTCTTCTTACCAAAAGTCAGATCAGAAGAAAGATAATAATATTTGAATACATAAAGTTCTAGTTGGCATGTATTCAAGATAATATATTGTATAAGCTCTGAATAGTTCGATAAAGGTTTTGAATAAGTTATATGTAATAATAAATTTTAAATTACTCACTATTTTATACAGTAAAGGTTTTTGAAAAGTCCATGTGGCACTTCGGACTCGGATCCGGGTCGGATACGGGTTAGGGGTGTTATATTTAATGGTATCAGAGCTACGGTTTAGCCGATTCTCGTTATAAACTAAAGTCCAAAGTGTCATAAAATGTGTACATACCAACACAGAGTGAAAATTTCTGATATGATAGGGTAAGGAGTATGTTGTCTTGCCAATAGAACAAGATTTGTATATATAGTAGAAATTGATTATAGAAATTGTCGAAGTGAATCGATAGCTGAAAATCTGATGGTGATAGCAATTCACTTGC